CTATTTTGGTTTCATCTGACCATATGACATTCTCCCAATCCTCTTCTGGATCATCCAAATGCTCTCTAGCAAACTTCAGATGGGCCTGGACATGTACTGGCTTAAGCAGGGGGACACATCTGGCACTGCAGGATCTGAGTCCCTGGCGGCGTAGTGTGTTACTGATGGTAGCCTTTGTTATGTTGGTCCCAGCTCTCTGCAGGTCATTCACTAGGTCCCCCCGTGTGGTCCTGGGATTTTTGCTCACCGTTCTTGTGATCATTTTGACCCCACGGGGTGAGATCTTGCGTGGAGCCCCAGATCGAGGGAGATTATCAGTGGTCTTGTATGTCTTCCATTTTCTAATTATTGCTCCCACAGTTGATTTGTTCACACCAAGCTGCTTGCCTATTGCAGATTCAGTCTTCCCAGCCTGGTGCAGGTCTACAATTTTGTTTCTGGTGTCCTTCGACAGCTCTAGTGGAGATTGGAGTTTGACTGTTTGAGGTTTTGGAAAGGTGACTTTTATACTGATAACAAGTTCAAACAGGTGCCATTGATACAGGTAATAAGTGCAGGAGAGGGGCCTCTTACAGAAGAAGGTACAGGTCTGTGAGAGCCAGAAATCTTGCTTGTTTGTAAGTGACCAAATACTTATTTTCCACCATAATTTGCAAATAAATTCTTTCCAAATCAGCCAATGTGATTGTCTGGATTTGTTTTTCTCATTTTGTCTCTCATAGTAGAGGTCTACCTATGATGCCAATTACAGGCCTCTCTCATCTTTTTAAGTGGGAGCACTTGCACAATTGGTGGCTGACTAAATACTTTTTTGCCCCACTGTATGTATAAACTATGGAGGATTTTTTCCTTGCTGGAAGGTCCAAAATAGAGCATCGAAAAAAGGTAAGCTGCAATTTGTAAAGTTGCCATGTGAATGAGGTCAAATCAAATATAGGTTTGTTAGGTAGGTGTTATCCCAATTTGGCTGCAAAAGTAGAAATATACTTTAGCCCTTTTGCTGCCAGATCCATTTTCGCATTTTTTTTGAAAAACCCTGTGGATGTCACCGCACATACACATGTTTAAAAAATCATTTTAGGCCTGAAGATTACACAAAACCCCAAAACGTTATATATTTTCTAAAAGCAGTTACCCTAGAGAAATATCATTCGCAAATTCAAGGCATATAGTGATACTTCCTATTTTTTTATGTCAAACAATATTACCACACAGGTCTAAGAAACTGAAAAAAGCCATTTCAGTAAAAAACACACTGAATTGAATTTATAGAGCAAACAAGCGCAATAAATTATCCACAATTTTGGTACAATATAAAAGACGAACATAAAAGTTGCACCGAGTAAACAGATACCCAACATGTCAAACCTTAAATTTGCGTGCGCCTGTGAAATAGCAACAAACTTCGGTACCCTATATTTTCTATAGGTCTCTACCTTAGGTCATTCATTTAGCATTACAGAGGAGGTCTTGTGCTAGAATTATTGCTCTCATTCTGGCATGCATAGTGATATGTAACATGTATATTGCAATCAACATTTTCACACGTAGACACCCCCGGAGTGTGCAATTACGTTTGTACGTGCATATATGTGGAGGTGGGGGGCCTCAATTTTTTTGCGAGGTGGATGTTATGTACTTGGGTGTTTTTGCATTATTTTTTTGCAAACATAGACACAAAGTCCCCTATGTGATGTTTCTTAGGTGACAGGTTCTCTTTATTGAGATATGCAGGGTCTTCAAGAACCTGCATGTCTCCTTTGGGATCCTCTGAATGTATTCCAGTGTAGATCACATTACAATACATTCCTATTCTAGCTGGAGAAAGTGACAGGAATGACCCAGAAGTTTCGTCATACACATTGCTTTCCTCCGGCACCCGCCATGTCGGCCCTGGGCCCGCAAATGGGCAAGCAGAGCCTGGAATACATGGTGGGGGCACTGTGAATAGCAATAGGGCAATAGTGTAAAAGCAATATGGTGGCAGCACAGCCACCCAGTTTCTTCCATCTGATAGGCAGGAGTCTGCCTGTTAGTTTTACACACAATCCCGATGGCTGCAGCAACCGGATTGTGTGTCAAACTGCGCGCTGTCAGGACCTGGCAGCGGAAGGGTTACATTTTATACAAACACCATTTACACGGCAGTATCATAAAACACTAAGTAAGGCTAATAACGGATTACCCTATCAGTACATGAAACACATGATTCTGAATCATCTGTTCATTTTATGGGAACACTTTTCTAGTTTAGATTCAATGTGTAATCTAAGGCTTCAAGAACTGTCCTTGAGGTTTTTTGGAACATCCAGAATTTACTCTAAGCAATGGGGATCATCTGTGGCTTATCTTTCCCTGCAAACCTAGGTGAACTGGTTATTATTTCCAATATATAACATATAAAACATTGTATTTCTTTAGATGCCACTGTTACAGCCCAGATGGTATTTTAAAGTAACATTTCAGTACTATTATTGTGATACAATAGCTGTTCTGAGCTGCCTCACTTGCTGAACCTGCAGATCTGGAAGGAAATAATATGTGGAGCTGCTGCTGGTAGAGTTATGGTTGTGGCAAAAATCTGCATTCACAAACAAATCTTCAAATGTCAGGCTGAAGTCAAGGAAGGCAGGTGGCAGATAAACAAAGGTTTAGCCATGGTCAGTACCAGAGTGAAGCCATCCAAACACTGAATGCCACAAAAGACCAGGGAACATTGTTCTGAACAGGCACTGTCCTGTATTAGGGGGTAGAGTTTATACTTGTTACCTTGTATTGTCATTGTTGATCAGGGGTCAGCAACCTTTTCCACATTAACTGTCAATTTACAAGAATTAAAAAACTATTGGGAAGATGAACAATAGCGCGCCATAGACCTCAGATCAGCCCCAACTCTTGTACTGTCAGACCTCAGAAGAGCCTCAATTTCTGCACCTTCTGACCCCAGATTAGCCCCAGGTTCTAAAACTTCTGACTTCAGCTTAGCTTCAAGTCTTATACCTTCACACCTTAGATCAGCCCCAACTCCTGTACCTTCACCTCTCAAATCAGTTCCAATTCATGCACCTTCAAACCTCAGATTAGCCTCAATTTATGCACCTTCAGACCTCAGGTCAGCCCAAATTACTGCACTACCATAAATGTGAAGGTTTTGCATATGTACCTGCTGCAGCTGATTGGTTCCACTAGAAGAAGGAACAGGGTAGGTGGGAAAGCTTCTGCATGTAATAATGTAGGCAAACCTACACTGGTACTAAGAAGATGAACAGCAGCTGAACTTTAGTGACTTCAGGTAAGCCTCTCTGTGTTGGCCGCAGGAGCAGAGGCAAAAGCCTAGAGTCAATTACAGCATATGGCAGCATATTTATAGGGAGAAGGGGCCTACTGGAGGATCCTCCAGTCCTCAGGCAGACTAATCTGAGCCTTTACCCATGCCACATGATGACCTTCTGAGTGCCACTAAAAATGACATTGTGTGCACACATGTCTTAGGTTGCTGACCCATCTTCAAGATAAAGCCAATATGTGCCTAAAGAGAGAACCCCCTCTAAAGAAGCACAGTTGACATGGAGTACAGAGAACCTCAAAGGAGGTGAGTATGGGTAGGAGGTTTCTCTCAGCTAGTGTTCTACAGTTTGTATAACTGAATATTCTGCATAAAAAATGAGACAAGGACAAGGAAGCCTTGGGCATTTTAAAAAGAAACTACAGGTCACTTGAATTGGTCAATGAACATATGTGCCAGCTGATCTACAAACAACAATTTATTGTATAAATGTGTTAGCGTAGGGATGCCACAATACAGTGTGTATGTAATGCAAATAAAATATTGCAATGAGAATAACTGTCTATAAAAAGACAATGCGACATGTACTTCTTTGCTATCTTCCTTAAAAAAAAAAAAAAAAAAACTCCAAAAAAGAATATCCTATACAGACCACATGATAAAATATTTTTCTTTTCTCTGGGTAGAAATATGTTGGAGATAAGATGGTAGCAAGACAAAATATGGGCTTTTGCTTGTATGAAAACTGATGGATGCTGGCAGAAATTGTATGCAAGCCTCTCTTAAATGTAGACAGTTATTTGTTGAGCAATGCTGATATGGTGTTGACTTTTTTCTTCTGTGCAAATACCTAGTGAGCTGCAGTAGGCAGCACAACATTGTATTCATAGGTACCACAAGAGTAATTTTTTTTAAACACTCTGCTTCATGATTTTGTATATTGGAAGAATGTTACAGTACAGTATATCTACTGCACAATTCAGTCTACAGTGTTAGTACTCTGCAGCACCACTAGATGGTACTGGGTAGGAGACAGACTACTGAGCTGACAGTATTTTAGGGTCTTATGTCAATCTTGATAAATGGAATGTGTAAGTGCACAGACCCATCTTATAGTCGTTCAAGAACACTTTATATGGTCTACATTTTATAATGAAAAAAATATGCTATAAGTTAATTTGAATTTAAAAATAATTTTACATTGTGAAAGTTCAAAAAACAACCTGATTTGTGATTATATCAAAATAGTAGCAAAATCTCAAAATATTCCTTGTGGGGTAAAGTGTAAGGCTAGGTTCACATTTGTGCGATGCAGTAATGCATGGAAAATCACTTGTGTTCCGGCAGCTCAAAAAAAATGTGCATTCTTTTTGCAGGTACATTAATGGTTAATAGCGCTCTAGTCACCTTGCTAGCGCATCCATGAAATTGCACACCAAAACACATGGTAGCAAAGTACCATGCACTTTGAAGTGGTGCGGTTTTAAAAAAAAGAGTGCATTCGCCTTTTGGTGCGATTTTCGCATGTAGGACATTGAAATGAATGGGCTGCTTGAACGTCAAACCTGCTTAGGTACAGACACGGCCCAATAAGGACTGTGTGCCTTTATGTTAACACTTGTGTTTAAGTGGAGGTTTCATGCAATGTCTGCCACCTGTGGATGGTGATTTATTATATGTAAAACTTAAATATATTTTTGTTTTTGTGTTTCAGGTAAACGATGCTTTTGTGCAGTCAATTAGCTTGTCTGCCACTGGATATTTTAGGTAATTATGAACTGAGTTTAGTTTTAAAATCCATCTAGCAAGAGAAGTGGTGATATGATGCATTTGTTTTGCCTAGGCACTGCAAATGTACACAACATTTACAAAATGAATTTTTTTTTTACTTTGATGTGTCATTGTGACAGCTAACCTGTAATTTCTGGCTGGGGAAAACAGCATTCAAATAAAGCAATATCATAAAAAAGATGAGGTGTATTTGCTCCTTAGCAAAACTGCAGATGAACTTCCTCTTGGTGGTAGTAGGTTCTGCTTTCTTCTTCTCCTTTTCTCCTCCGCCTGCTCACTAGACATTAAGGGAACAGTAGCACATTAAAGAGCATGTAAAGCCAAAACTTTTTACATTAGTTTTAGATAGGGAATTATAAAGTCCCCATTAGGTTTTGTCTTTGTTCTGTCAGGATGATTTCCCTTCACTTCCTGTCCCAGTGACACAGCAGGAATTTAGATGAGATCTCTCCTTTTAGAAAATTGTTTTCAGAATAGATTTAACCAATGAAAAAAGTACTTATCCCCACCCCATGACTATGCAAAATTGGGGTAATTCACGAATCTATGTAGCATGGACACAGACAGCAATAAAAACCTGTCAGGTTCTAACTCTTTCACATTTGCCAAAACAAAAAAAGTTACACTTTAATAGGAATATTTCTGTGATCTCCTATCCTGCAGGCACTTTCACAGTGTTGGATAACAATACAATTGAGTTCTGACAGACTTAGAGTGTTCCTGTACAAGGGATTGCAGACAGATATATACAGTATATGTAACCAAAAATTATATATATATATATATATATATATATATATATATATATATATATATATATATATATATATATATATACAGGTGAAACTGAAAAAAGTTAGAATATTGTGCAAAAGTTCATTTATTTCAGTAATGCAACTTAAAAGGTGAAACTAATATATGAGATAGACTGATTACATGCAAAGCAAGATAGTTCAAGCCGTGATTTGTCATAATTGTGATGATTATGGCTTACAGCTCATGAAAACCCCCCAAATCCACAATCTCAGAAAATTAGAATATTGTGAAAAGGTGCAATATTCTTGGCTCAAAGTGTCCCACTCCAATCAGCTAATTAAGCCATAGCACCTGCAATGGGTTCCTGAGCCTTTAAATGGTCTCTTGGTCTGGTTCTGTAGGAATCACAATCATGGGAAAGACTGCTGACCTGACAGTTGTGCAGAAAACCATCATTGACACCCTCCATAAGGAGGGAAAGCCTCAAAAGGTAATTACAAAAGAAGTTGGATGTTCCCAAAGTGCTGTATCAAAGCACATTAATAGAAAGTTATGTGAAAGGAAAAGTTTGGAAGAAAAAGGTGGTGGACCGCAGGGATGACCGCAGCCTGGAGAGGATTGTCAGGAAAAGGCCATTCAAAAGTGTTGGGGACTTTCACAAGGAGTGGACTGAGGCTGGAGTCAGTGCATCAAGACGGATCCTGAGCTAAAGAAAAACAGACCTGGTCTGTTGCTCAGTGGTCCAAAGTCCTCTTTTGTAATGAGAGCAACTTTTGCATCTCATTTGGAAACCAAGGACCCAGAGTATGGAGGAAGAATGGAGAGGCACACACTGCAAGATGCTTGAAGTCCAGTTTGAAGTTTCCACAGTTTGTGTTGATTGGGGGAGCCATGCAATCCTACTGGTGTTGGTCCACTGTGCTTCATTAAGTTCAGGGTCAACGCAGCCGTCTACCAGGAGATTTTGGAGCACTTCATGCTTCCTTCCACAGACGAGTTTTATGGGGATGCTGACTTCATTTTCCAGCAGGACTTGGCACCTGCCCACACTGCCAAAAGCACCAAAACCTGGTTCAATGACCGTGGGATTACTGTGCTTGATTGGCCAGCAAACTCACCTGACCAGAACCCCATAGAGAAAGATGAGAGACAGGAGACCGAACAATGCAGAAGAGCTGAAGGCCGCTATTGAAGCATCCTGGTCTTCCATAACACCTCAGCAGTGCCACAGGCTGATAGCTTCCATGCCACGCCGCATTGAGGAAGTAATTGCTGCAAAAGGGGCCCAAACCAAGTACTGAGTACATATGCATGCTTATACTTTTCAGTGGTCCGATATTGTTCTATGTACAATCCTTGTTTTATTGATTACATGTAATATTCTAATTTTCTGAGATTGTGGATTTGGGGTTTTCATGAGCTGTAAGCCATAATCATCACAATTATGACAAATCACGTCTTGAACTATCTTGCTTTGCATGTAATGAGTCTATCTCATATATTAGTTTCACATTTTAAGTTGTATTACTGAAATAAATGAACTTTTGCACGATATTCACATTTTTCGAGTTTCACCTGTGTGTGTGTGTATGTAATATATATATATATATATATATATATATATATATATATATACACACACACACACACAGTTGTGCTAAAAAGTTTGCACACCCTGGCAGAAATTGTGAAATTTTGGCATTGATATTGACGATATGACTGATCAGGAAAAAAACTTCCTTTTATCGAAGGATAGTGATTTTATGAAGCCATTTATTATCACATAGTTGTCTGGCTCCTTTTTAAATCATAATAACAGAAATCACCCAAATGGTCCTGATCAGATGTTTACATACTCTGGAATGTTTGGCCTTGGTACCGACACACAAGGTGACACACACAAGTTAAACAAGCAATTAAATGGTAGTTTCCTACATTTGAGGCTTTTTAAATTGAATTAATGTCTGTGTATAAATAGTCAATTAGTTTATTAGCTCTCACATGGATGCACTAAGCAGGCTAGCTATTGAGCCATGGGGAGCAGAAAAGAACTGTCAAAAGACCTGCCTCACAAGGTATTGGGTATTCTAAAGATGAAAAAGGATATAAAAACATATCTAAAGCCTTGAATATGCCAGTAAGTACTGTTCAATCACTTAATTAAATGTGAGACATTTGGAGATCTCTTAAAACCAAGCCAATTACAGGTAGACCAAGAAAGATTGCAGCCACAACTGCCCAAAGAATTGCTTGGGATACAAAGAAAAACCCAAAGTTAACCTCAGGAGAAATACAAGCTGCTCTGAAAAAAGACGGTGTGGTTGTTTTGAAGGAGCACAATATGATGGCACTTGAACAACAATGAGCTGCATGGTCAAGTTGCCCGAAAAAAGACTTTACTGCATACTGCGCTAATACCACAAAAAGACCGGTGCCAAAATGTCACAATTCTTCCAGGGTATACAAACATTTGAGCACAACTGCATTTATAGCACCCCCTCTCCCCCCTCCCCCTCCCCCCTCTCCTGGAGGCATGGCAGTAGCCCCAGAGACAGGGTGAGCTAACATTTCAACTCAGGGTGTAAGTTTAAAATGGGTGGCAGATGAACGTCAGTCACTTTTAGGTGAAACAAAAAGGAATTGTATTACTCACAGTCCACGGGGGAGATGCTTGGGGTTGCAGATACTCAGGACTACAGCAGAACTCTTATATTCCATACATCACATCACAGGGAAAAGAGCCTTAAAGTTGAGAGGGACACTATTGTGATAGAACTCTTTAGCAATCATCACCTTTTTCTCCAGGAGAGTCAACCAACCTCCATGGGATTCCATCCTGTCTCCAGTTAGGATCAGCACCAGGCCTCCATCACGTGCACCCTCTCCAAGCTAGAGTGGGGAGGAAGGAAACTTGCATCAGCCAGCCCTGAATATTTATACCCTTTCCTGTAATGCACCACTGGCACAGATAACTCCTAGTGGTGGGGGCCTGGAAAAAATATGCATATTCATACTCCAAATGTACTGTATGATCTCATACTAACACCAGAGGTGACAGTGCCACCTACTGACAGAAGGGAGAACTGACAGCCAGGTTGAATTTATGGGAAACTGAACTATATACAGACTACAAATTAGCATTGGCTGACTGCAGCCATGCAGAAATAAATGTAGACACTTCTCTCTAAGGCAGGGTGACTACATATATATAATATATAAACACACATACATACAGTATATGTGGATCCTGCCCTGTGCTGTGGTGACCCTTAAAGAATTGAGTGTGTTTGTTGCTAGGCTGTACCTAGCCTGAGCATCTGTTTACCTTTTTCTGGGTTCTGAGGGTCTTCTCTCAACTCAGTGGCTTTTGCCTGTCACTGTGAAGCAAGCCTTTTAGCCTTGGTGAAATGTCACTGCTGAATTGATACACCTCTATGAAAAGATCTATATACCTTTGTTTCTGTTTTCAGAGGGTTTGGCAGAGAAATGGACTGGGACAAAGGAGAAGGGGATCCAGCCCACTACTTTGTGTTTGGAGTTGCTTGTTCTGAGGTGGAAATAGATTGTCTCACTGGAGATCATAAGGTACAGATATCACAACAAAGGAAATATAACTCTTTTTAATTCATTTTACCTAAAGTATAACTAAAGGCAAAGTTTTTTTTTTTGTTGTTTTTTTTTTTTAGTTATGAATAGAGTGGAGAGGGATAAGAGCCAGCGTGAGAAAGATTTATCGTCTCTATTTATCCTGTTTACTGTTTTCACCCAAAAGTAACAGAAAATCCCAGGGATTCCCTTTGGAGAAATTTTCTTTTACTTTCTGTCTTGCCTATTTGACAGGAAGTGAAAGTGAAATCTCCCCAAGCGGACGCAGAGGGATGGCTGACTTCCTGTCCCTCTACTACAGCACAATGGTGAGATGCAGTTAACACCATATTGGAGAGAGAGAAACGTACCTATCGGCATAGGGGCTGTCCAAAAATAAAATTCCAAAAAGTGTTGTCTCCTTGCACCTAATTAGGTCTGGATTCAGGCCTTTATAGTTATCACTTCTGTTTTGGGGATATTTCTTTTTTCTGTCTCCCCACCAGGGGCGGACTGACCATTTGGAAACTCGGGCACTGCCCGAGGGCCCAGGGTCAGTAGGGGGCCCCATGAGATGCACCTGGTACCTTTTTCATAGGCTTTTTTGAGTTTGGGCAAGGACACAGGGGCCCCATGATCCCCTATTGCCCGGGGGCCCCATGAGTTGTCAGTCCACCCCTGCTCCCCACTCTTCGAATGATTGTGTCCTTAGTACTATTGATATTAGCGCAACACCATTTTATTTGTTTTGTCCTTGGCTGTCATCCTTGTTGCCATCTCCGGCCGTCTTGTTCTTTGCAGTAGTAGCAGAACCCATATAGTCCTCTAAAACACAAACCTTTGTGTCTGCAGGTTGTTGTTTGTTAAACACATGGAACTATCCCTTTATGCCCCTTAGGGGCTCTCCTGTGTGATCATTAGATACTCTTAGACATATTGGGGGTTTTTTACTAAAACTGGAGAGTGCAAAATCTGTTGCAACTTTGCATAGAAACCAATCAGCTTTAGAGTTTTATTGTCAAAGCTTAAATAAACAAGCTGAAGTTTCTGAGTGCACCAATGTTGGTAAATCTCCCCAACTTTGACCACTGTGCAGGCTGTTTATCTGTTATCCGTTATATGCCAAGCCAAATGGGTGCTTTAACCCTACCCCCGTGTGACATCATTGACTGGGGCATGCTGGGTCAATGATATCACATGGGGCGGGATAACATACGTGATGTCACTGGGTGGCCCAGCCCTTACATATTTAAGAACTATCAAGTCAGTGGAGCAGTCAGGCGGCCGGCAGCCAGCGGGAATGGAGGTTTTTTTTTCCATTCTTTTTTCGGGTGGGCATCATGACTGACGTTGGATCTACTTCGGGGGACATTCTTTTATTGTCCTTCTTTTAATAAAGGACTTGTCAAAGACTGTCTCCTGTCTTTTTTTCACACTACAGGTTTTTTTTTTGTGGATGGGTAGCGGTACCATGTACCCCATACTCCATACCCCTTGCTAAGGGGGCTTCAAGATTCCGATAAGCCCCCCATCCACAGACCCCCACAACCACAGCCCAGGGTTGTGGGGAAGAGGCCCTTGTCCCATCAACATGGGGACAAGGTGCTTTGGGGGGGAGCCCCACAACACCTCCCCCATGTTGAGAGCATGTGGCCTGGTATGGTCTGGGGGGGGGGGGGCACTCGCTCATCATCCCCCCCCTTTCCTGATTTTCAGGCTGCATGCTCAGATAAGGATTTTGGGGAGGACCCCATGCCATTTTTTTTTTAATTTTGCCGTGGGAGTTCCCCTCAAAATCCAAACCAGACTTGAAGTGCTTGGTATGGATGGAGGGGGATTCCACACTGTTTCTTTTATTATTTTTAATTGCCTGCATTTTTTTTTTTGTAACGTTCAGCTATCAGTGTGGAACCCCGCTGACAGCTGATGACTCATACGTTGTTAAGGACTCAGCGGCCATGCATTCCTTAACAACCCATGACAGTACTGACAGATACCAGTGCACACCGCATGCCTGGGCCACTACTTAATTACCGCCTGCATTTAATTATTTATTTCCTTTTGTGAATTAAGTTGAACTACTTGCCTACCGGGCAATTATACCCCCTTCCTGCTCAGGCTGATTTTCAGCTTTCAGCGCTGTTGCACTTTGAATGGCAATTGCGCAGTCATGCAACATTGTGCCTATATTACATTTTTATCATTTTTTTTCCACACAAATACAGCTTTCTTTTGGTGGTATTTAATCACCACTGAGTGTTTTATTTTTTGCGCTATAAACAAAAAAGAGCAAAAAAATTGAAAAAAAAAGTTTTTCTTTGTTTCTATTCTAAAATTTTGCAAACGTGTAATTTTTCTCCTTCACTGATGTGCGTTGATGAGGCTGCACTGATAGGCAGCACTGATGGGAACTGATAGGCAACACTGATGATGTGGCACGAATAGTCAGCACTGATGGGCACTGATGAGGTGGCACGGATAGGCAGCACTGATGGGCACTGATGAGGTGGCACAGATAGGCAGCACTGATGGGCACTGATAGGAGGCACTGATAGGCAGCTCACTGATGAGCTGGCACTGATGATGCTGCACTCATAGATGGCACTGGGCACTGATAAGCTGCACTGATGGGCACAGATGGGCGGTACTGACTGATGACACTGCTGGGCACTGATTGGCAGCACTGATGGGCACTGCTGGGCAGTACTGATGGGTGGCACAGATGGGCACAGGTGGGTGGCACTGCTAGGCACAGATGGGTGGCACTGCTGGGCACAGGTGGGTGGCACTGATGGGTACAGGTTGGCAGCACTGATGGGCACAGGTGGGTGGCACAGGTGGGCAGCACTGCTGGCATTGATAATCAGGGACTGATCATCAGTGCCCTGATGATCAGTGCCGATCCCTTCTTTGACAATTTTCGGTTCTCGGCAGTACTCTCCTCACACTGTACTACCGAGAACCGGCAACTATATTTACCCAGTGATCTGTCATTGAGCACAGCTGATCATGTGTGATTGGCTGTTTACTGTATTGCGTGATCAGCTGTGTCCGTGCCGGGTGCACGCCGCTGGTGGCGTGTTCTGGGAGGATGTCCGTGGACGCCCTCCCAGAACTAAACAACAACGCTGTAGCCGTCTTTCGGCTATAGCGCAGTTGGGAAGTGGTTAAGGTCTTTTTATGCAGTATTTACCAAGTGTTTTTGCTTTTTTCGGTAAATACCGCATACTAGCAATAGTGAATTGACATTTCAGTATCGCATGCGATATGTGGTCATATGACTGACTTAACTCACGCGATAAGCTTTAGTGAATTGTGCCCACTGAGAGGTACCACAGGGTTATCGTTTGATGTTCCTATTACAGAGTTTTTATTATATGGAAAAGTTTACTTTAAATCGCTTTAATACATTGTAAAAATAGTACACTGTAAAATTAATCCTTTCTATGCCTTTTTTTTATTTTCTCCTGCCATCAGAACCTCCGGACAGACATTGTCATGGATGTTGGTTGCAGCATTAATCCGGCTGTGGACATAGGACAGGTATGTTATTTAATAACATAATAGGCATGTTACATTCATTGTACTATTTCAGTATTGGTATTGTAAAGTGAAAATATCTATCCACTTGTATACAATTGATGGCATGAAAGGAAGCCATCCATTGTATACAACTGTCATGTGGCCTGCTGTGATTGGTCACAGCAGGTCACATGGTACTGGCAACGGGGCCAGTGGGTACACAGATCTGTCATCGACCTTGTTTGAGGTACACAGCCAATGACAGATCTCTCCACAGCGCGGCCCTGCGGGCATGCGCAATTCGCGTTCCAGAAAGGACGCCATATGGCGTCTACCCGGAGGGACGAGCTGTTCGCCCTGCCACCATCTGGCTATAGGCCAGGCGACAACTGGTTAAATATATAGTGTAAATGTTTCCAACTATTTATACCCAGCACTGATGCCTGACAAATGTTTATATTATAAATGTTATAACTTAAAGTGATTCTAAAGGCTTTTTTTTTTAGAGAAAAATAACAAACATGCCTATACTTACCTGCTGTGTGTAGTGGTTTTGCACAGAGCAGCCTGGATCCTCTTCCTCTAGGGTCCCCCTCAGGCTCTCATGACCCTTCCATCCTGTTGGGTTCCCCTACAGCAAGTAGCTTGTATATGGGGGCACCCACTGCTCCGTGTGTCCATTCACACATGGAGCTGTGGCTTGGCCCCGCCCCCTCTCTCATTGGCTCACTGGCTGTGATTGGCAGCAGTGGGAGCCAATGGCTCCCGCCTCTGTCTCAGCCAGTGAGAAGAGGGAGTCCCGGGATAGCTGAGACACCAGTGAACATCATTGGATCGAGAGGGGGCTTAGTTTAGTATTAGGGTGGGGCTGGGGGTGATGCTGCACACAGAAGATTTTTTACCTTCATGTAAAAAACCTTGAGCCATTAGAATCACTTTAAAGCTGAAGTTTTGGTATGGCTTTTTTTGCATATGTACATTGCTCAATCCCTGTTAAAGTTGGAAATAACTGTAGTAAACACAGATACTATGGTGATCACCACTACCTTCTGGGACCTGTGCTAAAAAGTTTTCTGATTGGACGAGGTGGAGGTTGTGACATCACTGCCTTCTCCTCCTCATCCAATCAGAGAATACTTTGAATTCACTGAGAAAATGCAGTGTTCTCTGAATGGGCCCATGCCAAGTGAGTGACCTCCATGTTCACTAAGCAGCAGGGCAGTGCCCACTACAGTGATTCCCAGCTTCCACAGAGTTTGGACAAGTATGGCACATACACACTTAAATTGGTCCAAGCCGGACCAATGAAACAATGCAAAAAAAAGCCATACCTAAACTTCAACTTTAGTTTGCCAAGTTAAAGTGATACAAAAGCTAAACATGTTTGTTTACCTTAATGCATTCCTTGCATTAAGGGGAAAAAACGTTTTTTATTTCTTTGTCCTCCCCATTCCCTGTGTGAAGTGCAAGTCTGCATCTCTTCTCCCTTCTCTTCCTCTTCACACAAGAATCAAGCAGCTATTGGCTCCTGCTGCTATCAATCAAATGCAGTGAGTAGGAAGTATGGGGCAGGGGCTAAACCCCACTGTCAGTCTGTGGAGTGTGACTCCATAGACACACAGCTTGGGAGCGAGCAGACACTGTGTACCCCCTTAGCAAACCACTTGTATATTATTATATTATTATAACAAAAACTAAGAAAAAATTTTTTTTTTCAAAATTTTCAGTGGTTTTTGGTTTGTTTAGCAAAAAATAAAAAACCCAAAGGTGATTAAATACTACCAAAAGAAAGCTCTATCTGTCTCAAAAAAAATGATAAAAATTTCATATGGGTACAGTGTTGCATGACCGTGCAATTGTCATTCAAAGTGCAACAGCGCTGAAAGCTGAAAATTGGCTTGGGCAGGAAGGGGGTATAAGTGCCCTGTAGGTGAGTGGTTAAACAAAAGTTAAACAAAAGTATAGAATAAAGTAAACTTTATTTTTCCAGTAAAAAGAATAATTAAACTTTGAGTATTTTTCATTTTGGAAATTGATTTCATTGGAAGCATTGATTGTTTCTAATATTTGCAGTCTCAATTGTTCACATGCTGTATTGTTTGTTTCTAGATTGAAGGTGCCTTTGTTCAAGGACTGGGGTTATTTACAATTGAAGAGCTGAAATTCTCTCCTCAAGGAGTGCTGTATACCCGTGGGCCAGCTCAGTATAAAAATTCCGGCAGTGTGTGATGTCCCTGAGCAGTTCTACGTGTCTTTGCTCGCCAATTCTTCAAACCCACACGCTATATATTCTTCCAAGGTAATAGAACACTGGATTCCCTGTCATTGTACACTCCCTGCACCTACACAGCTGTTTATCGTCAAAGGTTTACATTGATGCTTTATGCATATACTTGTTGCCTGAGTGCCAATGATTGCCAAAACCTTTCACCTTTGACATCCACAAACATCATAAACTTGATTTATAAAAAGCCACATAGAAATAAAGTATAGAATATAATTCATCCATGCAAAAGTGTGCCTTACAGGGTTATACACACATACAGTGGATATACAAATTCTACACACCCTGTTAAAATGTCAGGTTTCTGTGATGTAAATAAATGAAACAAAGATAAATAATTTCAGAACTTTTTCCACCTTTAATGTAACCTATAAACTGTACAACTCAGTTGAAAAAGAAACTGAAATCTTTTAGGTGGAGGGAAGTAAAAATAAAAATAAAAAATGAATATAATATGGTTGCATAAGGGTGCACACCCGTAGCCTCCCTAGTGGTCTGATTATGTCAGTATTTCTGTGCTCAAAGCGGTACATTTTGTGTTTGCATGGAAATATGTAGTTTTTTTTATTGTAGGCTGTAATTTTTAGGAATAACTCACTGAAATCTGTCCAAACAAGAGTCTAGTAAACATCCCGGGTATGTTAAAATTTGAAACACTAAATCATAAATTATAATTTAATAAAGAATCATAAAAAATAATAATATAATAATAATAAATTTAATTCAATAATATAATCAAACCAAAAACACTGAAATTTGAAATAGAGCGCCAAGTTCGCACATCACTGAGCAAAGTCGCAAAATCGTTTTCAGTGTCTGATGACGAATTTCCCCACGAATCATTATCACTCAATTCTGCAAGTGGTTCTAATTTACTATCGCTGTTCTCTAGCCGGTCTAAAACCGCTTTTGACCTAAAGGGATGCTTTTTGGACGCCATGGACGTTTCTCAGTTTCCAGGCAGAAAGAACGGTAAAAATGCAGGCAGGGCTCAGGACAAAGCACTAGGGACAAAATGTATGTGAAATGGTTTGATACAGGAATGTTTTACTATGTGATTTTAGTGAATGTTACTTTTTAACATTTTTACATTTCCCGCCGGTTCCGTCCCCCGTACGTCCTGACGTCGCAGGGAACGGAACCCAGAAGACGGATACCGGCATAGGCCGGAGGACAATACAGGGGACACTGCAGGAGGGACATCGCGGGAGCGCAGGACAAGGTAAATGCAGAAGAGATCCTGTAGCAACGCTGCAAGGTATTCCTGAGTGTAGCTCAGGGTTACCACTTGTGGTGCTGCAATTTTAGCACGAGCTACACTCGGGAATACCTCCAGGGAGGTTAAAATAATACTTTATTGAAGCACCTTTGATTTTATTACAGCACTAAGTCTTTTTAGGTATGAGTCTATCAGCATGGCACTGGCAAGTGGTATTTTAGACTTTTTAGTGTTTTGTACTTACCATTTTCTGATGTCTTCGGGATGGTTATTTGATGGGCCAGTTGTTCTTTCTCCCCACTCTTCTCGAAGAGATGATGATCATGAATGATGCAGAAAACAACAATGACATGGCATCAGCGATGTTCTTTGCATCCATAAGCTGTGAGCACTGGGTGCCATTATTAAGGGCAGGGCAATGACACAGTCTTTCCTCAGTTTTCCAAGTTAGAGAGTAAACCCAACATTTCATAATCCTGATATGTGCCTGCTGTACCATGAACTGTGCTTGCAAGAAAAGGTATCCTGTTCTCTTTGTATTGCTGCCTTTGTGTGAAATCCCTGGTGTTTCTGCCAGTCCCTCTGCTTTTCTATTAAACATTTACCACACTAGGCATGAGAGCACAGCATGGTCAGTTCTCTAGCTGTGCTTTCCTCTAATGATCAGGTTTCTGCTCACACTCTTCCCCTGCACAGCCATTCAATGGGAAGATCCATGTTCAGCTGTTTCTCCTCCCCTAGCTCTCTGTTCTCAGCTGCATATGAAGATTAGAGGGTACGTGATCATTTATAAAATAGGGAAAAAAGGTATTTATAATGTTGTTTTTTATATCTATGCACAAATGTTGTGCCTCTCATTTCTATTTTAAACTAAATGGGTTGTTTTACAAGGCAAGGGTTTACATATAATTGACACTGGGCTTCATTCAGCTTGAAAGACTGTGGCTGAAAGGGGGGCTATGGGTTGCAATACTCCCCTTCAACCTGAGCTGATTTTTAACAATACTTGGGTATAAAGTTAGCTTGGAGCTGGGCTTTTATGGATAACTCTACTTTTAAGGGAAAAATAAAACCAAATAAAAAATAAAGCGCATACAATTGCTGGACATGCGATATTGTAATGTAATTTTACTAAAAATTACCTTTTCTTTTCAACCTGCAGATACGAAAGCCTAGTACACACATTAAAGGCTAAATTCACCTTTTTTTTTCTAAGCTCCAGCTTCCCTATGTACCAATAAGTGCTTTCTTTGATTTTGAGGACAAGGATTTACCTTAGCCCTTGCTGAATTTCTTAAAAAGCTTCATCAAAAGGCTACGTTCACACCTATGCAGTTTGCGTTTGATCCGTTTCTACATTGCGTTTTTGCACATGCTTTTTTGCTTTTGTTGCTAGGCAGATTTAAAACACATTAAAAATGCTGCAGAAAAGCACTATATGCTTTTTTGAAGCGTTTCCATTGAAGTCTATAGAACAAAAAAACGCAACTTTTTGCATTTAAAAAAAGTTCCTGACCCTTTCCAAAAAATGCACTGGGTGAAAACGTGGATATGTGAACGTGTCCCATAGGAAATCATGTTAAATGGACTGTAGTGTGTTTCTGCAAAACACTGCGGAAAACGCTTTGGTGTGAACCTAGGGTAAGACACAGGAAGGATTTCATCAGCTGACCCCATTAGCACACACCTCTGGCTTGCCTCCCCCCTTCCAACAGATACCTACCACCCACTTCCACAGGTGCACGGTTTTCCAATACAATGCAATTATTCAGTGATCACCATTTTCACTAAATACACAGGTATCATTTTTTTCTATCTTATTTTTATCTTGCGTAGATCGTTAATTTAGTAGAGTGTGCTGAGAGATCAGATAACTGCCTATGTGTATAGAGCTGTAGTATTGAAAACAGGGGACGTGTGTCCTGGGTTCTGTAAAGCTCACAATACACTTTACAATCTGATTGTGCATTCTCCTTTAGATCTGTACCATCAACTATATAATGCAAGCACCTGCTTTACTGGATACAGAGGGATTGGATAGATGGTGTGTCTCTATGGGAAAATCGAGCCAAAAAACGTACTCCCACTACTCTAGGTGTTATTGGGGCATGAAAGTGAAATTGATTTGTTTACACAAGAACAATTTTATTTATTTCTTACAGGTACTTATATAGCACTGTCAATTTACGCAGCACTTTACATATATATTGTACATTCACATCAGTCCCTAACCCTCAAGGGGCGTACAATCTAAAGTCCCTAACTTACATTCATACGTACACATGCTCGGTAATCACCGGGCACCAGTGGAGAATCACTGGACCTGATGATTGACAGCCGCGGCCTACCAGGTAATCACCGGGCGCCGGTGGGGAATCATCGGACCCGGTGATTGACAGCCGCGGCCTACCAGGAAATGCAAAATCACATATATATACGTGATTTTGCGCATGCCTGCCACCCTGTAGCAGTATATCAGGAGGTTAAACTTCTTGTGGATAAAGTAAGTGAGAGAAAAGCACATTGGGATGGCTGGGCCAGAAATGGCATTGGAAAACGCTTCTATTTATTATGAAAAGTGAAATTCTGCCCGAAAAGGTGAACTTATCCTTTAAGTTTTTTTTTCATTCTGTGGGCTGACCAAAATAAAACGCTGTACTAAACAAGCGATGCTAGTGCAGCGATCTCTCCTGCTGTGCTTACTCTCCCCATGCAGAATGCAGTAATCAGGGTGTGCAGAGATTGGCTGTGAGAGCTGATCGGATGCTGGCTTTCCAGCATGTCCCTTCAACAAAAGTCCATCCTTAGACCGGCTTCTACCGGAAGGAGAGCTGTACACATCGTCCAAATGTTGGGCTGGTTCCTGCTGAACCGTCTGATATTCAGACCATGTGTACCCTGCTTAAAATGTTCTATAAAATTCAATACAATATGACAACCTAAAAGTTCTGTACACCATTGGTGTACAGAATGTCCCCATTAATGTAATTTCCTGCTTGTGTGATTGGCTCAATGATTTTCCCATAAGTCGGCACCGAGATACAGATCAAATTTTTGTCATTCCCTGAAATAGGATTTTCAGTTTTGATGAGCAGATAAGGTAGGAATCTACAACAAAATTGTTTTATATATCTCCGTAATTGTCATAAATCAGGAGATTTTTTTGTTCTAATGAAAAATTGGAATTACACTTTAAGATAACCGTGACTAAAAAGATTTCTTCCTCATTTCATGTTATAAATGCATGGAAATAAATATTTAGAATTCTGAAATTAAAGGCATAATAAAAGACTTAAAATAAATATACAGGTATGTGTTTTATGTTCCTGAGTTTTACAAACATTCGGAGCAATTTGATTTCAAGTGTGATTCTCCTATAGACTCTTCCCAAAGGGAAGCCAAGTCCTCAAGCTTAGTTTTTCAGGTGCTAGCTAGCAAATTTACAACTAAATTTGTGAATATACATCAACATAGAACTTGACCTAAGGATGGACAATTGCTGGAAAAATGACCAGCTGCCTCTCATTTCTTAAAATTTTTTATTATTTTTCATATATGGAATTTAACAAAGAGGTATAATTTTAAATTCAAGTGTCTGACTACTGATATTTTAGTTCATGCCCTTCTGCTCATGCAGTTCTCCCTCCAGTCCTCCAAACCACACCTTCAAATTGGTTTACTGAACTCTGAAATTAAACTCTAACCAGTCTTGGTACTGGACATTTTGTTTGTGACCTGTATATATAGGATCACACCTTAGACCTGGTATCTTGACCATACTGTATGTTTGTGTTTTTTGTCCTACAGGGTGTTGGTGAGCCAGCTCTGTTCCTGGGCTCCTCTATTTATTTTGCCATAAAGGATGCATTGACATATGCCAGAAAAGAAAGAGGAATGTCTGATCTTTTTACCCTAAACAGTCCTGCAAGCCCAGAAAAGATAAGAATGGCGTGTGGTGATAAATTTACTAACATGGTATGGTGTATTTCAAGCACTCTATATAGACATGACATGTTCAACATTTATTTTGCTGGTTCATGGACACCATATTTTTATTTAGACATATGTGGATTTTAGTGACTCTATTCCTTTTGAGTCAGCAAAAAACATTTTTTTTTAGTTTTCCTTTCATATCATTTGATGTCCTAGCAACAGTGATCACAAGGACAAACTGAGATGGTGAATCTGTTCCATCAAGGCACAGCTAGCAATTAAAACCTTGCAGTAGGTATAACATTTCTCCAAAACCCAAAAATATGGTTTTCACTTTAACGCACTGGGCAGGATAAAATTACCAATTGTTTGCATTTTGACTTTGAATGCACACTTTACCTAAAAAGGAACAAAAAAGCCCATTTGCCCAAGTCCAAAAATATCAAATCTTTGTCACCCTAAATCTTTCACCAGATTTAGGGTGGCATCCTAGACGCACCTGATGTTTCATAAAATATATTTCAGTCCAAAACTAGAATTCGGACATCAGGATTAACTTGTTTATTGATCATTTTTAAATCTGGTTTAATCTCTGCTTGAAATCTTATGTCTAATAATTTATGTACGTTTTATCCTGGAACTTCCATGGCTGAGCTGTGAAGAAAAGTGGATGCCAGATTATGTTATCTGATGTCAGAGGACTCTTTACTGGGACATTTGACATCAGATAACATAATTAGACATCCACTTTCCAAAAACCCCACTGAATATCAATAATCCCGATTTCATTTGAACTGACAATACTTATGTACAGTCTAAACCTTTTTTTTTTTAACCATTTGCCCTCCAGAGGATTTACTCCCCTTTCCTGACCAGGCCATTTTTTGCGATACAGTGCTGCGTTACTTTAACTGACAATTGCGTGGTCATACAGCGCTGCAACCAAATTAAATTTATGTCCTTTCTTTCCCACAAATAGAGTATTCTTTTGGTGGTATTTGATCACCAGTGCATTTTTTATTTTTTGCGCTATAAACAAAAAAAGACTGACAATTTTGAAAAAACAAACCCTATATTTTTGACTTTTTGCTATTAAACATGTCCAGTAAAAAAATTAAAAAAAAATCAAATTTCGTCATAAATTTATGCCAAAATGTATTCTGAAAGTTATGGCATTTACAAATGGCGGAATATATACTTGGATTTTTTTTTATTATTACTATTAAAGGTGGCGATCAGTGACTTATAGCGGGGCTGTGGTGAGCATTCTGACACTGGGGAGGGGGAACTGACCCAGTGGCACCAATACAGTGACCAGTGCTAATAAAAAGCACTGACACTGTACTAATGACAGTCGGCAGGAAGGGGTTAACATGTGGGTTAACATGTGGGACGATCAAAAAGGTTAACGGTGTGCTGTTTCACTGTGTGCTGTGTGTGCTTTACACTGTAAGCACACTGCTTTGTATGGCTGTGCTATGAAGAGACATACAAAGAAGTATGCAGGAGCTGACAGGGGAGACATCTGTATTGTTTACATACTGGTCTCTCACCCGTTGGTAATACTCTAAGATCCTCGAGTGCTGGCTGGGGATCACCAGCCGGGACCTGGTGATTGAGGCCGCAAATGGCTGCGCTGGTAGGGTAGGGTAGTTTGAGAACAGACATGGCGAAACAAACAGGATTTTTTTCAGAACAGAGAAAGGAAAGTAACCGCCAGATGAACATCAAAATAGAATGTGGCAACAGTAGTAACTAAGAGCAAAAATAAAATGCTGTGTCATTGACTGCCCTTCGGAGAACCTCCAGAATAAATACAGTAGATTTGATCCCAAGCGACCCTTAACGGGACCAGTTTTTTTCAATTGGGTCCAGTGGTTCTAAAATGGTGGAGGACCAGGAGAGTGGAGGAACCCAAATGTAATAATCATAAGCGCATTCAACTATTCTTAAGGTGAGAGTTCTGTGAGCACTGAGGTGGCACAACCTGCATGTTTGCAGCACTTTAAGAGATGGTGATGGTTATATGAGCACGTGAGAAATCCTATGTAATTGTGAAGAAGTTGATGTAAAACTCTATGTTCACCACTCTAATTCGACTTGCTTTCATGGACATTGTGATTTATGCACGTTTATATGTATATTTGATGTTTTTTTTCTTGATTAATCGGTTGATGATTTGGTATTTATGCTTTATATTGGCAGCACAGCATTACGTTTATTTGTTTATTTATGTTTATGTTGTGGGAACACAATTTTTTATGCTAGCAGCAGCTCTATATATATCATTTATTATATAGTCACATTGTGGTAGTACAGAAGTATTTTTCACATTTTGTATACTCCTACATATACACACAGCAGTCACATCATCAGGACACAGGCTGGGTGACATTGATGCATGCAGAGCTGTGCACATTAAAACTGACAGCAAGGGAAGCATTTATGACAGAAGAGACCAACAGGGTCTCTTCTGTCATAAAAGCTCTACCTTTTAGTATGTACACCCAAACACAAAATGTATAAATTGCAGATTACTCATTATTAGATGTAGTGGCTGCATTTTTTTTCTGTTTTTCATTTTTTTTATTTTCACTTTGTGCTCCAGCCAGTAACACACTTTCTGTCTTACAGTGGCCCCTTAGCTATGGAGCAGCAATGGAAACACCTTTGGATAGCAGAATTGCCCTGTGAGGGTAGTGTTAGATGGATTAGTAGATTTATATGGACTTTACATAGGTGACCAAAAAATGACAGCCTAACTGCAGATAACACATTTTAAGCAATCACAGGAACACATTTTTACTTCCTTTTGGAATAAAGATTTTAACTAAATGACCAATGAGATGACCATTGGAAGCACCTTGTCAGTGTTAAATGCTTTTTCTCAACCTTTGTTTTTGCTTGTGCTGCACAGCTTGGTCTGTTAAAGGAATTAAAAAAATAATAGTAGGATCAACAGATAAAAGCTAAATTACAAGGGGTACTTAGAAAAAAAAAAGACTACTTTGTAAATGCCAATGACAGACTGCATCATATATGTCACTTTTTATTTTGCCTTTAGTACCACTTTAAGATGTCATTATCATATATTAGGCACAATTCACAAACCTTAACACATACCTAAGGACATACCTGTTTTCAGCCATGTGACTGTAATTTCAAATCTCATTTAAAATAACTGTTACTTTGAAAACGCATATTATTATCTTGTGTAGTTCTCTTAATTGAGATTATTATCTAGTCTGGTATCTAAAATAAATGCACTTTCCTTTCTCAAAAGACATCATGGATCAATTTAGACACACAGGAGGATGCAGACACCAAGGCTATCTTGATATGGGGGTACTCAGGAAGTGAGCTTTACATATGAACACCCCATCTCTAAATACCTACATTTTGTTTTATACAGTCAGTTAGGCAGTATTAGATAAAAATAAATTTACTTAAAGCGGTATTAAACCCAAAAACAAAAATGTATTATATTGCAGCTTACCAATCATTTGATGTGGTGGATGCATCAATTTTCTTTTCTTTGTTTTTTTCCTCTATTTTCACCTCGTGATCTGCCCAGTAACTCATCTCCTGTATTAGTGAGACACCACTTTGGAATGAATGAGCCAGGACACAGCAGACAGCAGCATTGTCAGTCTGGGGGATGGGGAGTGTTACATATATTATTCGATTTTAATACAAATAACAAATTGAAGCCAAACTCCAGGTAACACTTTTTAATGAGTTACAACAAACATTTTTTTTTTCCTTTTGGAATAAAGGCTTTACATGAATAAATAAAAGCTGGTAATTTTATTCAAATAGGGGTCATTTGGAGGTATTTATACAGTCCTGGCAGCTAAGGGCCTCAAGAAATGAGATAGGACGTCAATTTAGTACAGATGTCAGATCAGAATTGATCAATTTTCAAATATATATATATATATATATATATATATATATATATATATATATATATATATATACCATAGTTTGTAGATGCTATAACTTTCACACAGACTAAATAATATACACTGATTTGGGCTATATGTACCAAAGAAGTGTAGCAGAATACATTCTGGCCTACATTTATAAAGAAATATATTTATTTGGAATGTTTTCTAACAGAAACTAAGAAAATGTGTTTTTTTTTTTTTACCTATATGTTTTTTTTTTCATTTATATAGCAAAAACTCAGTATTGACCAAATGCCACCAAAAGAAAGCTCTATTTGAGAGAAAAAAATGATACAAATTTCATTTGGATAGTATTGAAAGACCAAGCAATTGCCAGTTAAAATAGCGCAGTTCTGAACAGCAAAAAATGTGCTGGTCATGAAAGGGGTAAAACCTTCCGGAGGTTAAAACATAAAGTATACACCTTCCCATCAAACAGATAACTTGCCAACAGAGTATTTTTTATTTATACAACGTGGTTTGTAATGTACATAGTATAAAAAGTGCTTATGCTTTCTTACAGATTCCAAGAGATGAGCCTGGTACCTATGTTCCCTGGGCTATCAATGTATGAATACTGATCTCTACTAAAGGAACTCTATTATGCAACTACTGAATAACACCTTCTATCTCATTGTTTCAATAACATTAATATATTATAAAAGTAGACCAAAATGTATCTGTTAGTATACTAAGACTCATCAATGAGTGTGGTAAGGAAGGATGATTCTTGCTTATGGCACTGGGAGTGCTGATACCTGTTCTTCCTTGTTATGCTTGGCCCTTATAATATTACATCTATTGTTGCCATTTAATCATGAAAATGCTTGTGTGAAGGTAAACCACTAATCTATCCATGTTTGTATATTTTATTAGCACTTTTGTTATTTTTCAGTTTCGTTTTATAGAGTGAAGATGTTTTCTTTTAAGATCTCATGAATTTAAGCATCCCATTAACAGATTAACCTAAGAAGAAGTTGATGGGAAATCCAAATATCTGTCTTTAAATGAAGGGGACAAAGCTGTCATTACTGAAAGGCAATGCACACATAAATGTATTTACAACTTTTTTGCTCAATTGAATTGCTCATAAAAATTAGAATAGTAGCGTTACTGGTATAACAATCAAAAATCACTGACTTTGTTACATGAGCTACAAAATTCTGTGTGGATTTCTGTTGATGAGAAATAATCTTAAATTTAAGTATGATAATGATTGCAGACATCACCATTCTGTCTAGTGAGAGTTGTATTTTTAGGGCCGGCTAGAATGATCAAAGCTTTTTAGTTCCTTCTGCTCTTTTTTTACTATTTTATGTAAAATACAGTAAATAAAGGACTTTAAAGACTCAACTGAACTTACAGTTTAAATCCTCTAAATATATTTTTTTTGTGTGTACTAAAACAAAAAAATGTGCTAATTCTCATAAGTAATTTTATTTAGAAAAGAGCCACACCTGTCCTTTAAGTCCAGCGCTTCAAACATCCAACTTTTACTTTCAAACAGGTAAATAAATTCCAAAGTCTCCAATCTCCCAGACTCTTACCAGATCTGGTGACCAAGTCATAAGAAATTGGGTCCAATAAAGCCTATTCTCCAACCCTTTTGTGCCTATTTATTTATTTAGTGTTCTTCTTTACTCAGTGTACTACTTTACTTTGTGTGTTCCCTAAATAAAAGAACGCATACAGTATAGTGTAATACCTACAATACTCATAATACAAAAGTAATAAGTCAATGTGCTCACATGTGTATGTGTGTCACCAAAACATGTAAAAACACCAGTGATCTGTGAGTGATTCTCCCCTTTAGCCTAAATGCTTACAAAAAGCACTAACCTTATCACAGCTCTCAACGCTAATTCTTCCACTTTCCAAGTCCGAATTCTCTGCAGCATTGCCCCGAGTAAGAACAATGCATAATGATGTAGTACATTTAAAATAAACATAGAAAAAGTAACCCCTAAAAGTACTCACATAAACCCATGCTTTTATTAGTGCCATATGAGTGATCCACTTCCTGCAATTACAGTGCGCTCCCCACTGTGTCGCACACATTATCCTAACAACCCCTAAACACAGGGTTGGGTGATCTCACTTTAAGTTTAATTTCTGATGAACTAGCTCCTTTTGGCAGTAAAACATTCAGTTCCCCAAAATTAGCAACAGGCAGGACCTAGTTAAAATCCCAAACAAAGTCACTTGTTCCAGGCAGTTCCCTTCTGGGAATTACATTAGTCTATGTAGAAGGCTCCTATGGCACTGGCAGATGGGCAACAGCCTCCAGTCTTATAACTGGGTCAATGGATCTGGAAAGAGTCTGGGAGATTGAAGACTTTGGAATTTACTCACATGTTTGGAAATAGAAGTTGGATGTTTGAAGCACTGGACCTTTTGGATTGATATCATTGGAAAGCTGCCAGGGGTCGCTGATATAGTATCTGGCAGCTGGGGATTGCTCTGGAACACTTATGCACTGAGTAGTGTTTAAACACCTGTCCTCTGACAGCATACTGTAGGAAAGGACCCTTTCTGTTCATGTGAAACCAACAGTCTAACACTCCCTCTGCTGAATCAGACCTATAGTAAAATCAGGAAAGCTACCTGATAATTGGAGAGCTCAGCTCTGAAGTACAGGGTACGTGTCTCTCACTTTGGGGCCTGTGAGAGAATTTAGGGACCTGGCTTCTCTCCATATTCCATTTATTAGCCCCATCCCAGCATCCCAGGTTTCTTTTATTTTTGATACTTGATATATTTGACTGAATTGTATTGTTTATTCTGTACTGGTTATCTATCACTTAACCCCTGACTTAGACTTTTTTATTTCTCTTGTTAAAATCCAGTAAAAAGATTGAAACAGAATATGAATGAGAGAAATGGAATCACTGAGCAATAGGGAGGCTTAGGAGGCAGAAAGGGCTGAAATCAAACTTGACTGTTAAAGCAAAAGTTGGAATTTCCCTATAATTTTAGCTGTCCACTATTATGAATCTAATGAAAACTTTGACTTGCAGCTTTCACTGAACATAATGCCTGGCTTTGCATTTCTCATCAGATTGTCTACATTTGTGACACATTTGCTATAAATATACAGTCAGGTCCATAAATATTGGGACATCAACACAATTCTAACATTTTTGGCTCTATACACCACCACAATGGAATGCTATTTGCATTTGGAATATGTTGCTGTCAACTCTCAAGATGAGATCCAAAGAGCTGTTACTATCAGTGAAGCAAGCCATCATTAGGCTGAAAAAAACAAAACAAACCCATCAGAGAGATAGCAAAAACATTAGACGTAGCCAAAACAACTGTTTGGAACATTCTTAAAAAGAAGGAACGCACCGGTAAGCTCAGCAACACCAAAAGACCCGGAAGACCACGGAAAACAACTGTGGTGGATGACCGAAGAATTCTTTCCCTGGTGAAGAAAACACCCTTCACAACAGTTGGCCAGAACAAGAACACTCTCCAGGAGGTAGGTGTATGTGTGTCAAAGTCAACAATCAAGAGAAGACTTCACCAGAGTGAATACAGAGGGTTCACCACAAGATGGAAACCATTGGTGAGCCTCAAAAACAGGAAGGCCAGATTAGAGTTTGCCAAACGACATCTAAAAAAGCCTTCACAGTTCTGGAACAACATCCTATGGACAGATGAGACCAAGATCAACTTGTACCAGAGTGATGGGAAGAGAAGAGTATGGAGAAGGAAAGGAACTGCTCATGATCCTAAGCATACCACCTAATCAGTGAAGCATGGTGGTGGTAGTGCTATGGCGTGGGCATGTATGCCTGCCAATGGAACTGGTTCTCTTGTATTTATTGATGATGTGACTGCTGACAAAACCAGCAGGATGAATTCTGAAGTGTTTCGGGCAATATTATCTGCTCATATTCAGCCAAATGCTTCAGAACTCATTGGACGCCGCTTCACAGTGCAGATGGACAATGACCCAAAGCATACTGCAAAAGCAACCAAAGAGTTTTTTTAAGGGAAAGAAGTGGAATGTTATGCAATGGCTAAGTCAGTCACCTGACCTGAATCCGATTGAGCATGCATTTCACTTGCTGAAGACAAAACTGAAGGGAAAATGCCCCAAGAACAAGCAGGAACTGAAGACCGTTGCAGTAGAGGCCTGCAGAGCATCACCAGGGATGAAACCCAGCGTCTGGTGATGTCTATGCGTTTCAGACTTCAGGCTGTAATTGACTGCAAAGGATTTGCAACCAAGTATTAAAAAGTGAAAGTTTGATTTATGATTATTATTCTGTCCCATTACTTTTGGTCCCTTAACAAGTGGGAGGCACATATGCAAACTGTTGTAATTCCTACACCGTTCACCTGATTTGGATGTAAATACCTTCAAATAAAGCTGACAGTCTGCAGTTAAAGCACATCTTGTTCGTTTCATTTCAAATCCATTGTGGTGGTGTATAGAGCCAAAAATGTTAGAATTGTGTCGATGTCCCAATATTTATGGACCTGACTGTATTTCTGTATCTGAGTCCACTCTCCAAAAACAGACAATAACCATATTTAAAGGTGTCTTTTCTGTGTACTTTATATTGATTGCAAATGTTTTATCGTATTTCATAAAGAACAAAAGATCTTAAGCCTCTAATAAATCATAATTAAAAAACATAGTTTATTGTGTGTAACCTGTAATTATAACACTACCAATGAATAAACATACATGGTGTTAGCATGCATCTAATGAATAATTCTGGCTGTTGGCTAAATGTAATGATGACAGCAGGTGTCTTTCAGCAGTACTTTAGATGAGGTCTATTGATTTGTATGTAAATAGAAATCATGTATAAAGATGAAGATGGGCTTGGTCCAAAATATACATGAGTCTTTTTGCCATATGCAGATCATGGACAAACTTAGTAAAGTAGATTCTTAAATCTGAATATATTTAAGTCAAGTTCATGTTTTTTTGAAACTCTGAAGGTCAGTGCAACCAAAAAAGATATTGACATATAGGGTACATTAATAATTTCAACAAGAATACGGGGGTTGAATAAAGGGAATCTGCCACAAAACAGAATAGCTAAATGAGCAGTCAAACATGGATGTACAGTAAGACTTTTGCGCTGCATAGTATTAATGGTCTGGAAAATAATAAATGGCTGGCATGTAAAAAATGGGTGCTATTTCTCTGTGTACCCTAGCCATTTAGAGACTTAGCTACTGTCAATAGAATTAGAATATTTAGTAAAATGCTGCTTTAAAAAAATGCAATTTTAATAGCTTTGGCATCTTAGTTGATTCCAAACTTTGTTCTTTTGCAGAGCTAAAGGCCCCACATGAATTTCCAATACCCATTACATCTGGGTGTGTCAGATGTCTGCATCTTCCCTTTGTGGCTCTTTCCCTTTGCAGTTAGATAACTAGGGTGTCAAACCGTGCCAATACAGATCACAGAAACACTCTAGTAAAATAGCAGATGGGGGAGCTACATTGGGCAGCAGAGAGACAAGGGCATTCAGAATACCTAGAAATGTCATCTAGTGAAGGTTCTAGTGGCTCCTTTAGCTCTGCAAAAGAGTAAAGCTTGGAGTC